GCTCACGCGCAGTCGATTCTTACCCGAGATAAACCCGAGCTTTAGCCGAGCTTTAGCCGAGATGTAGCCGAGGTGTAGGCTGTTCAGCCGAGACGAAGGCATGTAGCCGCCGCCGGCCTGGAAGCGGCGCAGCAGGGTGTGCCGAGCCGCCGGCGCGGTAGTGCGCGAGACCTGCGAGGGCGGCGGGAGGGCGGTGGCGGTGAGGGCGGTGGCGGTGAGGGCGGTGGCGGTGAGGGCGGTGGCGGTGAGGGCGGTGGCGGTGAGGGCGGTGGCGGTGAGGGTGGTGGCGGTGAGGGCGGTGGCGGTGAGGGTGGTGGCGGTGAGGGCGGTGGCGGTGAGGGCGGTGGCGGTGAGGGTGGTGGCGGTGAGGGTGGTGGCGGTGAGGGCGGTGGCGGTGAGGGCGGTGGCGGTGAGGGTGGTGGTGAAGGCGGCGGCGGCGGCGGCGGGGGCGAGGGCGGGGGCGGCGAAGGCGACTGCGAGGGCCGGAGGTGGCGAGGGTGGGGCTGAGGGTGGGGGTGGTGCGAGGGGCTGCGATGGTGGCGGCGGTGTGGCGGGCGGCGAGGGCGGCGGGTCGAGAGACCTTGTAGCGATTGCTGCCCCTTGGCTGGCAGCTTGGGCAATCTCGGGCAATCTCGGCTCATCTCATCTCGGCTCATCTCGGCTCGGCTCGGGTGGACCTTGTAGATCGTGTGCCCCTTGGCCGACAGCATCGCGCCCACCTCCTCGAGCACCGCGTTGAAGTGCGTGAAGACGACGACGGAGGCCGCGCCGTTCTGCTGCGCGAGAAGCGCGTCGAGGTCGGCACTGAGCGCCGCAAGCTTGGTCAGCGCGGCCCGCTGCGGAGAGAGCGAGACGAGCGGCCCCGACTGCTGCTGCAGCCGTGCGTACGCGGCGCAGCCTTGTGGCCGCATCGCGCCGGCCGCCGGGCGCGCGAGCGTGTAGCCTGGCCCGCCCGTGACGGCGGCCTCCGACCAGACGCCCGCCAGCGCCTCACGGCGGCGGCGCAGGCCTAGCGTATCGACACGGGGGGCGCGCATCGGCGTGCAGCCGACTTTGGGCATCGCGCGAAGGCGGCTGCGATACAGTCACGCATGCAGTGGAAGCGTGTCGTCTCGAGGCCGGAGCACAGACATCTGCCCTCCGCATCATTCCGCATCATTCCGCATCTATGCGGTGTCGGCCGGTCCCCACGTCGGCTATCGTGCTGTCCGAGTAGCGGCTGGCGTCGGCCCAGGAGGGGGCGCCGTCGGCGCAGCAGTGGAGCCGGTACAGTATGCGCTCGTCGGCGGACATGGTGAGCCAAGTCGTCTCGAGGTCGGCGTCGGGCAGCGAGAGCGCCTAGTCTCGGGCAGTCTCGATGGCTCTCGATGGTTCTCGATGACTCTCGGGTGCGCTCGGGTACTCTCGGGAAGCGCCTCCTCGCCGCCGATGCGCTGCGCCTTGGTGTGGCGCACCTGCAGGGGCGAAGGGCCCTCGGCGGTGTGGCGGTTCGTGGCGGCGACGGAGGGCGCGATGGTGGAGGCGCGGGTAGAGGTGGAGGGCGCTGCAAAGCGCCCGTGAGCGGCGTGGAGTATTGGATGTGGGGGCGGCGGTGGCAGAGCCGCACCATCAGCCTCTTGAGCTTGTCGACGAAGCGGGCGCTGGCCGGGCCTCCGGTCATTGCGAGCGACGCAGACCTCGACAGCCCGAGGCCTCGCTTCCAGTGTCCGAGCATCGAAGCCTGCGTCAGCAGCTGGCTGGTCGAGTTGGAGAAGGGCGTGCCGGTGACGAGCCAGAGGTGCCTGTCCATTCAGGGAAAGACGAATGGGGGGGGCATTCGAGAGTGAGTGTAAGTCGACGTCACCCGGCGCTGCTTGCAGCTCCACGGCTAAGAACCCCCCCCCCCCCCCCCCCCGGCGGAAGGAGGCTGGGGGATGCAAAACCCTTTTCCAAAGGGGATGGGAATGGATGAACGAGGGCGTGCCCAAAGCGCCTCGGGCTGTAGCAGGCAACCTCCCGTCCTCTCGGGTAATCTCCGGGGATCTCGGGTACTCTCCACCCCTGGGGCTGTAGCAACCGGCGCCCCCCAGGGGCGTCATCTTGGTGGCAGGCAGCTTTGGCTGTGACTTGGGCTCCTAAAGGTGCGACTCGTCGAGGACCAACCGGGTGCAGTAGCGGAACATCTCCGCGGAGGGCGAGCAGTTCCGCGTCCTGACCACCACGTCGGTGAGCGGCGAAACGAGCTTCTTGCCGCCGTACGCCTGCACGACGCTCAAGCCCGGCGCGAACTTCTTGATCT